TAACCTAGAAAGAGAATATCTGCCTAGGTTGATAGAGCACCCTTAATTGAAGGTAGTGAATTGGCGACTTTAGTCGAGGAGTCAATTCACTATTTTGTACCGAAGTTACTTCAGTAGTGGAGGTTTGGTTCGTTAGGGCCTCAATATGTTTGCTCCGGTGGAGTTTAGTCGCCCGTTGGAGACTCAGATTGAGAGGGTCAGGAGACTTGTAGTCGAGACTTCAGACTGTTTAAGAACCTTCCGCAGTATAACTATAATTAAAACTGAACTTGGTAAATTTTAATCCGGCTTAACTGTAGTCTAGGGGGAACCATATCCAAGTGACCTCTCTCGACTTGAAAACAACCGTTTAATTGCTTTGCTTGTTTTGCTTGTTTGAACCTGCACTAAAGTTTCACCGCTAGATAATAAGAATTCATTGAGTAGTCATCACATCTAGGACCCGGGTTGACATTAAAACCCAATCCCGCTATACTATGCTTTAGGAAGTGGTTACAGTTGGCTATTTTCTAGAGTGACAGTAGGAGTGAGTGAGTTTATATATTGTTAATATAAACAAAATAAATGATATTTTGTAGACTAATTGCCAATTATATTAATATAAAATAATTATATATAATGTAATAATGACGCTCTCATCACGCTCTCAACTTTAAGTTTTTCTGAAATAGACGCTCTTGCGCTCTCACTCCCGCTCTCGCTACACGAACTGGTTACCTAAGGCCAGACTGATTGCCCACTCCCCTGCCGCGTCTACATTTCTCATCTGCAAACCAATTGCGGATCGACGGGTGATTTACAACAAACTCACCGCCTGTACCGACCTTCTACACCTATTCTGGTTCTTCGCGGTCAATTTCATGTGAAGTGCGTGCTTCTTTCCATTCTGGTGACGATTCCTCCACTTCTCATCCCGATCGGAAGCTGTTTCCATACCACTTTGTCCCCGTCGACGAGCAGATCTGGTCGGGGAAGCGTGAAGGAGATTGGGTTGGGAGATCCATCCGCTGTGTTTGCGATTTCCACCCTCCTTCCCAACGATTCTGGGTTCGGTGGATTCATTATGCTTTCTGGTTTTTGCCATGCCATGATAAAATCTAAAAAATCAAGAACGAACAACACAATTTGGGATAGGAACCGTCGTTTCTGTATTTCTAGAAAATGGTGGTAAACATGGTCAGCTGTCGAAGTGGTTTGAATTAAGATTTTTATCGGGTGTTAGAGAACCATGTGATTATAAATTAGGCTTGATCAAAATGTGCCAAAACTTGAAATTCAGCCTGTTTGGCTAACCGTATGCCAAACTCCAATTATTCTTTACTTTCAAACTTTCTATTTGAAAATAAAAAATAGTGAAAGAAAAGAGAAGACTGCAATTCGCCATTTGCACATCACTGCTTCAGGAACAAAACCATAGAAAGTCAAGAAAACTGAAAATATTTAAGATTGTTTTAATGTTAAAAATAACCAAATGCATCTTTCTGTTTAATATTTTACTAACAAATACCAAACGCTTTCCTATAAAATACACTATAATTTAATTATTATGATATCAAATAATTACATAATATATATTTGAAATGATAAAAATTGGACTAATCGGGTTGGTCAAGGTTTAACCATTTAATAACTTTAAAATGCATTATATTTTAGTCACTAAGATATAAAATAATAGCATAATATATGTTTTAAATTAGGAAAACTAGGCTAATTGAGTTGGATCGTAGGTCAACCATTTAACCCTTTCCGTGAGTTGATAAATGGATTGTTTCATTCGAATTAATAATTTTGACGACAAGATGAAAGTTTTATAAAGAAAATTAATCGGCCAACGGGTCGAGTAAAAGCTAGCAACGATTGTGAGATGCTCATTTCTCGAAGACAGGAGGGATAGGCGATTTTTTATTCGGTTTTCTAGAATTTGGTTTCTATAAACTTACTACACCTCCTCATATTACTAGAAATAATATTGTTTCACAAGGTAACAGGCAATGGCGGATCCAGAAATTTAACATAGGGGTGTCCTCTCTAAAAAATTTAATTTAATTAAATAATTATTAAATATGAAAATATATGACTAATAAAAATTAAAATAAATTTTCAGACATGTTTCGTAAAATAGTAAAATACATTCAATATCTATGCTACTTAAAAAAAATATCTCTCGACATATCCTACTAGACAAGGGTATCCCGTAATTGGATTTAATTGTTATGTTTTAAAAATAATTAGAGATAAGAATAACATTTTACAATTATATTTGGATCTAAAATACTATAACAAATGAGTTGTAGTGTAATTGAAAATATGTTTACTAATAGTGACAGTGTCTCAAGTTTAAATCACATAGACTACTATCGGAGGTTGAATAATCGTGTTTCCAAATTTTAGAGGGTGTCCCGCAACACCCCTAAACATGCATGTATCCGCCACTAGTAACAGGTACGAGAACTTGGTTCATAAAATTGATTTTTGATTGCATCATTCATGTCTCTTTTTTCTAAAATTCACTATCTTTATAACATGTTTCTAAAAAAAAAAAAAGCTACACAACAATAATCTATACACCCATTACATTATCATATTGCTCTGTTAGCGTTAATTATTTCTTGACGGTTTACCACCTCATCAATGAATATAACAAAAAATTATACAGAAAATTCCAAAATACAAACAAAAAACTCCATCATCGACGTAACACCTTCATCTCCTCCCAAGCCCACCGCAACCACAAGGGAAGACAACTGCCAGTCGAAGCCATTTTCCTCCGCGATTTCTCCCCCTGACCGCCATCCAACCACCGGACAAGACAACCAGGCCATGTGCTCCTCTTATTATGCTCTATCCCGCTGCGAAGACGATTGCCAGCCACTGCGGGTCTTCTCTCCCTCGCCATCTACTTCCTCTTCTCTAACTCGCTTCTTCCATCTATTCGCCTTCCTCTGATCTGGTCGTTGAAGCAACAGCTGGCGAAGAAGAAATGAAACCGTCGAAACCCCTCTACACCGCTAAAAGAAGAAGGCCAACCGAAGGAGATGAGATTGATGGACGAGCTGTAAAAATTCATTTGGATCGAGGCAAAGAACCCCAAAAAACAAAAACCTAATTTCCTTCTACTCTCAAATCTGGGCTTAACCCCCAAATAGCTGTTGGTCTCACCGTGAACAAGTATTCCAGGATCCATGCAGGTGGAGATGTCAACGAGGAATTGAAAGAAGATGAAAAAGCGATAGAGTGAGAGAGAGAGTGCATCAAATCCCAGGGGAAGAAAAGTGGTGTTCGAAAATTTTTAGAATTTCTCGGGAGGAACCCTTGGGATTTGATGGTATGATGATTGCCATATGAGTCAATTAAGCATCATGATACTTGGTCAACATTACTAATAAAAAAATTTAACAGAGCAACGCTTGACTAGTTAGTAATTCATTATATCTTAATTTGACAATGAATGCGAAAAAATTTTAGCTTATAATTATTATTTACCCGGTAAATTATATCAGATTTCACCCATTAGTGATAATTCTAACATTCATAGTATTGTTCAATTTAGCAATTTAAAATTTGGAAGGAAACAAAAAATTCAAACACACTTACACAAAATCAATATTAATATTCAAATGTTCAACTTGTAATTCCATAAATAACCTTAAACAAAGGAAACCCCACAAAAAGACAGCAAAACAAAACAAATAAAAAAAAAATAAACCCATGCAACCTCCTGCTCAATATCGTTGCTCCGGGTCACCCACGAATGTGCCATGCCCGTTTTCCTCACCGAGTCGGGGTGTATCCACGGGTGCCTTTTCCTCACTGAAACGTTTGGGAGAAAACAAAATCAACAAAAATCCATGCAACAAAATCAACAAAAGAAATATTCCAAATCAGATCTGATTTACCACCTTCATTCACGGAGGTAGAACCCCTTGTACAGGCCTGGAAGCTTGAGCTTCTCCTGATACGTCTGATTTATATACCATCATCCACGGAGGTAGAACCACTTCTGCAGGACTGGAAGCTTGAGCTTCTCCTGAAACGTCAAAGAGCAAACAAAATCAACATCCACACAACAGAAACATTCCAAGTCACATCTGATTTATATTACCGTCAATCGCCGACTTCAACCGCTTTGAAGAACTGGAAGCCTCAGCCTCCCCTGACGTTATCAACTCCTCCCACTTCCTCTGAAACGTTGGGAATAGAACAAAATCAACAAACAACCACACAACAAAATCAACGAAAATTATTCCAAAACACCTCATTTATCTACCTTCGCCCACCGAGGTAGAGACGCTGAATAATCTGCTGCTTCCTCCATCAAGCCATCGCTTGCTTCCATCCTCAACTTCGGGAAGCCGATTACTGGCCAACTATATCTTGCTTCCTTCTCCATATCCTCCCCCACTAAGTTCAAATCCGACCAAGGATTAGCATAATAATCAGGATGCCCTATCAACCTCACCTTAATTTGGTTTTTGCGTAGCCAACTAAGTATGTGATAAAACAAGGTGGAAGGGATGGACTGAATTTTCAGGGCAGCCTTCGTTTTGTCCTTGAACACAATAACCATGTTGATATCCTTCACCTGCTCCTTCTCATCAAGGACTCTGTCGACCACCAGATGTTCGATATCGTCCTCTTTGAGGATTAGGAAAGGCAGCTCAGTCATCTGGACGAGGTAATTCCGGGTTCCAATGAAGAATAGCTCAGTCTTGTAGCCTTGCACCGTCCCACAGAAGCCATAACCAGGCATAATCGGCAGAAACTCAAACCCCATTCTCTTTGACCGATCCACATAGCTCGTGAAGTTTCTCCATCTCCTACCGAATTCTAAACTACTCCAAGTTACTTTGCTACCATCTTCTGTTCTCTTGTCAAGATCTACAGTCGTTTCTCCACTAGAAATATGTTCCTCACCCATACACTCACCATAGAACTTAACATATTTGGTCTTTTCCTTACCAACCATGATAGGATTTCGCAGACAAAAGTGCATGATCCTCCTATAAGCCACATACGCACGAAAAGGCATTTTCGATGTTGTCAAACAAAATATCATCAACTCGTCCATCAGAATCATCACCTTGCAATGAATAGCCCTGAAAGAGGGAGACGTTGACATATTCTGCTGATGACCTCATTTCAGCAGAAGCATCATCAGCATCTACTTTAGCTTCGTCAACGTAGTCACCATCTTCGTCTTCTTGCCATGGATAGGAATATCGGAAACCATTGACATGGGCTTCCAGTGCCCCAAGAAGCTTCCTTCCACGCCCACCAAAAACAGGTTGGCCAATGCGAAGACCGGGCAATCTTATCGGCCTGTCTAACAGCTGAAGTTTCTCTAAAGCTGCAGTTTCTTCATTTTTCTCTAAAGCCGGTACCTCAACCTTTTGTGAGACAATCCAAGGCCCCCTCTCGTTCTTTTTAGCTCTTCCTTCTCCATTGTCATGGTTATGCTTAAATGGATAAGTTACATATCCAACAGCCTTAGGACTTGGTTGGGTTAAGACTTCAGCCCCTTCAGCACAAACAACAACCGTATCAGCAAGCAGCAATGAGAAACTGCTGTTATCTGCTCCTTTCAGATCTCGGAGAGCAAGAGAGACATTGAAAGCCATCCCAGCCTTCACCATCCGATCATTTGTTCCAATTAGATCCAACACTGATTCATGAAATTCCAGACCAATCCCTGCCCCAACAGATTCTGTCAGTTGTCCGACCAACTCAGGAGCCTCCGAACGTATTATGGAAGAAGCAGCCACATACGCTGCGCCAACTCTGACCCCAGGCCGTACGGCAGAGATAGCAGCTTCTTGTGCCTTGAGAAGTATCTCATAAGCTTTAATCTGAGAACTATCAGGACTAACCAAGAAAGACCTAGCCACATTCGAGCAGTAGCCCTTATACTGGGATCCAAGCGAACAAGTGATCACAGAAGCGGAATCAGAGTACGTCAACTCATCATTTGAACAGTATCTCTTAAGATCTGGATGGCGGCAAATATCGACATTTTGAGACCTGAGTTTCACATTGAGTTTTAAAGCGGGCTGCAACGTGGCCTCCTCAATCTCTTCTATAAGAATCTTGTGAACATCTTTCTTGTTCTCCTTGTGATCAATTGCTTTCAGGAGCTTGGCAACTACAACGTTCTTCATCAATTTGGCAGACAAATATGCAGCCCTCTTCATGCACACAAGCTCATCCTCTTCCTTAACAGCAAACAAATCAGACAATCCAGCTGATATGTCAACAATCTGAAAACCGTCAATCCCCAATTTCTCGCACAACTTCTCAGAAACCTTATCCCCTTCCTCAGCCTCTTTTGGTATATGGCCAACAACAAAGGGATGACTCCTATTATCATGAAAAGCATTCATAATACCTGACCCGTCATCATAATTATCGCTGTTTTCCGTCTTCCTCACATGAATCATCAGTTGGGCACTAACAGCATACTTGACAGCTTTTTTCAAAGACTCAAACAAACGGGACTTCCTCATGCTACACAGCAAATGAATGTGTTTCTTCATAAACACCATCACGATTCCCGGAATCTCATACCCAAACAACCAAATACTAAGAGCTGAAGACATTAAGGATCGGGGGACCTGCGAAGGAGGCAGAGTCTCCACGACAAGGGCATCCGCAGACGCCCACAGATCAGCTTTGTTGTCATTCCAATGAGAGTACAATGCCTTTAAACGTTCAATAACCTTGTCAAAATCAAGCCAACCAGTATTTCCTGCCGTAGACTCCCGAGTCATGGACCGCCGTCGATGACCAGCCATACCGATCCACAATCCTCCCCGCAACGGAAATCGATGCGGAAAATAAACAGGGGATCACCGAAAAGATAAATTATCGTTAGGCTTTAGGGTTACGATTCGACCGTGATACATAAACACGGAACATGAGAAGCAGCGAGATAACGGACCTACCTGATTACTGGACTCAAGCGGCAAACTGGTCGTCTTTGGCTATCACGGGCAGAAAATCGGAGAGACCTGTCAGAAAAATATTTAACTCGGGAGTCGGGAGAGAAAATACTGGAAGCAGGATTTTTTTTTATGGAAAATTAAAAAATTATCATATTAATATTAAAAAAAGTGAGAGAGTAGTGAGAGAAAATCCTCCCAAATTCTTGGCGAGCTAGGGTTCCGACTAGGGCCTGGCTGGCCGTGCCGGCATCTGCGCCGGTGCGATTTTCTTTGCTTCAGGATCGATGGCTGCAGAATCGTGTGTTTTGGGTACTGAGGGGTCCCTGCAAGCCTTGGGCGGAGCTGTTTGACATCGCCGAGGCGAATCGTGTTGCATACATTCCGTCGGAGGTTTTCAAGGGAGGGATTCGCATGCCGAAGATAGTTTGTGACGAAAGAGCAGCCCGATGGAAACACAATTTGGTCGGTCGGTTCCTCCATCCCACTCTGCCTTCTCTTCCAGAACTCCGACGCTGGGCGAACAAATTATGGGGGCGAGATGGTATCGTTCGCGTTTCCTTGCTTGGAAATCAATTGATCCTTGTTCAGCTTCCAACTCAGGAAACATGTGATTGGATCCTGGAGAGCGGGTCGTGGTTCTATTCAGACAATATGTTATATCTTCGACCATGGACCCCGGGGATTGATGTTGAAGATTTGGGGACTAAGGCTCTGCCTATCTGGGTTAGATTCACAAATGTGCCGTTGGAGTATGTTAATTTTCAAGGTTTGAGTCGAATGAGAAGTTGGCTTGGGATCCCGCTGGGTGTTGATCACACTACGAGGATGGGTGGTCGTCTTGGCTGTGCGAAAGCTCTTGTAGAGCTGAAAGCTTTGGGTGAGTTTCCTGATCATGTTCTTATATGGCCAACTGAAGATCGTTCAATCAGGGTGGGTGTGGCTTATAGCCATCTTCCTCCTATATGTGGGCACTGCCAATCCTTTGGTCTCAGTTGTGGGTGTGGTAAGCAGGATCGTGCTCTGAAAGATAAAGGAACCCAGGAGAATAGGGAAGTGGAGCGTATCTGGGTAAGAAAGAAGACTAAGGGTGATGAAACTAAGAATAATCCTGACCAGAATAGTGGCAGTTCAGTCATGGTGGATAAAGGGAAGAGTGTGCTATCTGCAGACTCTCTACATCGTTCTAGTCTTATGATTGGATCAAACTGTGTTGGTATTAATCTGGAACATACTTTCCAATCAGTTGCAGAGTGCAGTTCGCCACAACTCCCAACAGAGGATGAGTTTCAAAGGGTGGTGAATGGAGCAAAGCCTAGATGCTTGTCACCTCTTCCTAGTCCCACCCGTGTGCTGCAAACAACTCAAGTTTTTGCTGCACTGCAGGGATTAGGAGATAGGGAGATTACTCAGTTGCAAGATTCTCCTAAGAAAGGTGGTAGAAAGGGTGGAGGATCTCAATCCTCCCCAGGATGAAGATACTATTCTGGAACGTTAGAGGGTTTAACAAGCCCTCTAAGAGAAGGGACTTTTCACAAGTCCTGAGGAAGTACAAGGTGGATGTGGTGGCTATACTTGAAACAAGGGTAAGTAAGGCAAAATCTGATGAAATTGTTGTGAATTTCTGTGTAGGTTGGAAGAAGTATCTCAACTACGTTGATAGTTATCTAGGTAGAATTTGACTATTCTGGGATCCAGACATTGAACTTAGAGTGCTTGCGCCCAAGAAGAATTATGTGCATTATGTGGCCAGGGAATCTAGTGGTGCTAGTTGTTTCATTACTGCTGTTTATGCGTCGAATGATGAGATAGAAAGGAGAGAAACTTATAAAGACATGGCTAGGTTCAAGTTATCTTCTGCCCCTTGGATTGTTGGAGGGGATTTTAACTCTATCTTGTCCCCTGTGGAGACTTCTAATTTGACCATGGTTAGCAGCTGTATGTTGGACTTCAAAGGTTGGGTGAATGATATGGAACTGGTTGATCATAGGTCGAGTGGCCCTTTCTTTACTTGGACGAACAGGCAAAAGGATAACCCTTTTGCCAGGGAACTCGATCGTGCCCTTGTTAATGAAGCTTGGTTTGATGTTTTTCCTAGTTGTGGTATTGATATATTGGTAGGGACTTTCTTAGACCACTGTGGGGTATGCGTTGATACAAAACCAGGGCAAAGGACTCTACCTAAGCCTTTTAAATACTTTGAGCTTTGCTCATCCTGACTTCCACAAAATTGTAGAAGAGGGTTGGTCTACCCCTGCTCAAGGGACCCCGTTGCTGGTTGTAAAAACTAAGCTTAATGCTGTCAAGAAAGGGCTGAAGAGGTTGAATAAGGAAGTGTTTAATGATATAGTGGGCAGGTGAGATCAGTAGAAGGGCAATTGCTTGCTGCTCAAGAGTTGGCTCTATCCACCCATCTGGTGATGTTTTTGCTAAAGTAGATTCCCTGAATACACAACTTGTGAAACTGAAAAAGGATGAGGAGAGCTTTTACTGGCAGAAGTCTCGGGCAATCCAGTTAAAAGTGCGATTCTACCTAAAAGCGGAAAAGGGGTAAAATCGTAAAGCGTAGAATCAAAGCGTAAAAGCGTAAGTTTTTTACGCATACTGAAAAAATAACTAAAAATGTATTAAGTAGGACATATGCTATGCAAAATATGAATGCACAGAATTTAGATAAATCAATAAATACATGCGATTCATGCCTAAAGTAGAACAACTTATAGCATCTTAATAATAAGTTTGTAAACATAAATTTTAACAATAAGCCACTTTTCCCACTATGCTAATGAATTTGGGAAAAGCCTAACGGGTGAATTAGATTACTCTATCGAAGTTGAGAATGCATCCAAGTACCTTATATGTATCTTTTAATCTCAAATGTATCATATTGTTGGTGATTTACTTTTAAAATATACTTTTCATAATTAATTTCATGAAAAGAATACTCATTTAGTGAACTAAAAGCGTAAAAACGTAAAGCGTTTTGGAGAACTAGAAGCGTAAAACCGTAAGCTTATAAGCTTTAGAGCGCAATTTAGTCCGATTTTATACACTTAAGTTTTTATATGGAAACGAAAGCATTTCGGTGACCTAAAAGCGTAAAATCGTAATTTTTTAAGTTTTAAAGCGCGATTTTGACTGCATTGGTCTCGGGTAAACTACTTGAAGCTTGGGGACCAAGGTACTAGATTCTTTCATCAATCAGTTAAGATCAAAACTGCTAGGAAGGCTATAAGGAAACTAGTGCTTGAGGGGGGTGAGGAGGTAGTGGAGATGGACAAAATTGCTGATGAAGCGGTGGAGTTTTATAAAAATTTATTTAACTTCATTGATCCGGAGGTAAAACCTTGCAGACAGCACCCGGAGGGCCTGGTAACACATAGACTGAGTGATGAGCAGAGGGATTTCTTGTGTCAAGGCTTCACAGCTGATGATGTGAGATGAGTTGTGTTTCGCATGAATACTCATCGAGCCCCTGGCCCTGATGGGTTTTCGGCTGGCTTTTATAAGCGCACATGGGGGGTTATAGGAGTGGATGTCACTGCTGGGATCCTGGAGTTTTTCAATACAGGTAAACTCCCTAGTAGTATTAACTCCACTGCTGTGTCTTTGATACCAAAAGTCGCTTCTGCTTGTAAATTAAAAGAGTTTAGACCAATCTCCTTTGTGAATATCATTTACAAAATCATTGCCAAGTTGCTAGCAAATAGGCTGAGGAAGGTTCTAGTTAGTGTGGTCAGTGGGAATCAGTCTGCTTTTATTGAGGGAAGGAGAATAGTTGATAATATTTTAATGGCACAAGAACTAGTGAGTGGCTACCATAAAAGTACTCTGTCTTATCGTTGTGCTATTAAAGTTGACCTCATGAAAGCGTTTGATTCAGTTCACTGGGGTTATTTGTTTCTCATGATGGAAGTAATGGGATTCCCCCAGAGGTTCATTTACTGGATTAGGCTCTGTGTTAAAACAACAAAATTCAGTATTTGTATAAATGGTGGACTGTGTGAGTTCTTTGGAGCACAGAGGGGGGTGAGGCAGGGGGGTCCCCTCTCACCTTACCTGTTCACAATTGCAATGGAGGGGCTATCTCTTCTCTTGAATCGAGCTGCAGCAGAAGGGACCTTGGCTTTCCACAGTGCAAAAAAGTGGGGTTAACCCACTTGTGTTTTGCTGATGATCTTCTAATCTTTAAAGAGGGCTCAGGGAAAGCTATTCAGAGGGTTCATGGGATATTGAAGGAATTTCATACTATTTATGGCCTAAAGTGCAATCCAGGGAAATGCGAGGTGTATTTTGGAGGGAAGTCTGTGCAGTTTAAGCAGAATGCTTTGCAACTGTTACGGTTTGCAGAGGGAGATTTACCTGTTAGATACCTGGGTATGCCTTTAATCTCAGGGAAGTTGCCTTCTAGTGAGACTGACAAGCTGGTAGCCATAATTACAAAAAAGATCAACTCTTGGAGATCAAAGAAGTTTAGTTATGCTGGAAGGTTGCAACTGGTAACGTCAGTATTGATGGAAACTCTTCAATATTGGATGCAGATCTTTATTTTGCCCAAAAAATTGATCAAACAAGTTCAAATGGTATGTTCATGGTTTCTCTGG